AGGACAACTATGATGGGGTGTGTCTGGGGACACGAGATCATCGGATTCGTCGAGGATACCCTTCGTTCAGAAGGTGAGGGAATTTGGCGTTGCTGCTAATTGGTCAATCTCCATATCGGTGGTTAGAAAAAGATGCTAGCCGCCCTCGAGGGAGAGTTGCTAGTGGGAGACGCCGTTCGTTGAAAAATAGGTCTCTCCTATCTTCGCGTAGCTGGGACAGACTGTTTGTTTGAAGGACTTTAGTCAACTAAATTCTAAGATTTATGACGGGCCCTCAGGCTAGCTGAACATGTACTCCGGAGACGCATCGACATCTGGCAATCATCTTGCTCGAAGAATAGAGTCTGCGTGTGGCGAGCCACGGGACAGAAACCGTTGGAATGTTTACTGTCGCGTGCCGCTACAAATATTTCTTTTAAGGAGAGCTATAGAATTACTCGATACCTTTGTTAGACAAAGCGTTCATCCCGTGACCGCGGCTACGTTCGGCGACTGGCTGTCGCCTCGAGCCCAAGCTCATTATCACAACTCGCGAACAATTACAATCGGATTGAATAACTACAATTGTTTAATTACAGCTATAGTAGACTCTACAATGTTGCGGGATTATCCAAAATTCCAAAAGCTCCGGTGTTCTTTCATCTCCGACATATATGTAATTGATATGGAAAGAAAAGTGTATCTGTGCAATAAAGCATGTTGATATAAAAAATCTTGTTACTGTATTTCTTTAGAAATTTTATTCAGTAAATTCCTTCTATTGATTAAATGACGACGGTAAGGCATTTCTGAAATTTCAAACTTCTTGAAACCTCTCTCAAAGTTCTTTTCAGATAAAATAAATGTTTACAAAATCAAGAAATTAGTATTTTTCATCGACTATATAATGCTTAGTTACTACCACTATTTCACCGCTAGATAATTATGTACAATGTTTCCATGCCCATCACAGGCCTACATATATACATACATATGTACATGTATTGTTCATCAATTGACCAGATTTTCAACAGTAAAAACACGATTAAGTTCTCTTTTTCTTTCTCTGTCGAAAATACTAAATAAGCATTTAGGAAAGCAGCATACATTTGTGATTAGCTTATGCATTTATGATTTAACTGACTTTATCAGTTAAGGGTACACAAATGTACATAATATGCAAACATGTACAAAATATCGACAGTAAAGTATTCGTGCTATTTTGTGATTGAAATGAAGAAATTAGTTTCTATTTAAGTTTCATTTATTTAGTTATACTCAAAAAATGCGCATTTCCATAAACATCAGCGATCAACTTATTGTTTTAACACGAAGAATGAATTGCACATCATAGTTTAGGTTAGGTTTTCTGTGTTGAATAACATCAGAATAGTAACTTCCTGATCTAGAAATCTCTTTATGGGCTGAAATTAAAACGATACTATTTATTTACTATACTTCAACACGAAGAACAAGTCAATATGAAGTTTCGGAATTTTATTATACATATACCTATAATATATGTATACTTAAATTAAATGGTACTTGTAGTAGTCATGTGAGCAAACTATGCGCAGAATTAAGAAAAATCTGTATCGTAAATGAGCGCCAAATGTTTATAAATCATATATCATTTGAGAGCTAGGAATATTAAAAGAATAATTCGTGGCTGAGAAGGGAATCTTAATGGTGCAACGGAAGTGCCAGGCGACCGGAAGATTAGTTTGCTCAGTCTGCCGCGAATCTTCGCTGGTAGTGGATGTATTTTTGATGGCTCTGTGAAAATTAAGGTATTTTCAAATGTATTTTAATTAATGCAGCTTCGTGTACTTAATGTTTTGCAATAAATATTTATTGAAAATGTTTAGTCTCACTAATTATTACTTCTATGTTGTATGTTTCTTATTCGGATAGTTATAAGATAATAAATTTATATCTTAATTACCTATTACTTCTTATTTGAGATCTTTCAGAATATGTATTTGATATTATTTCTACGTACTTTAACATAATAAAATAGTAGTTTTAAATTAATTTTACTAACAATTATACTTTTAATGATTTAAGTATTTAGGTAGTTGTATGATAGTATTGTATGTATTATTGATTAGGTAGCTAAGAATTTGAAATTTGTTAAAGTATTATTGATCATTATTATTACATATTTTATATTATAGCATTATAAGATAGTAGTCCAACTATTGTTTAATTTATTAACTAACTAACAATTTACGATTATAGTTGAAGTATTGGATATCATTATTATGTATTTCTATAGAGTTTGAAGGTAATTTTGATTTAATTCTAAATACTAACAATTTATTTTAATTGGTTATCGAGTAGCTGTTCCATCGTTGTTATTTAATGATTTGCATTCAATTAAATACAATTATCTGCGATATATTACTTTTTTAAATCAGAAATTATTTGAAAGTTTAATTAAATACTAAAAATAAATTGATATCTTTGTATTGATTACAGCAGAATACCGTTGCAAATGTAACAACAATCTCTTGACAAACGATTGTATATTATATAATGGAATTATTTATCGTAAATTGTTCCATAAAATATACTCGGAAAAAGCTTAAATAAATCAAACCACAATAGCAGAAATAATTAAGAACACATGAGTTCGAGTGATAGAAAAATCGAGTAGAAAAATTTCGAAAAAAAGTAAACTCCAATTCCTCAGCGCCTTTCTACTCTTTAGTTTTCTTACAGAAAGAATTTATAATTATTAAGAATTTATAACCATCAATTTATAACGATACAACTATAAAATTTGATAAAGTAAAATGTTTATTTTACTAAAATCGACTGAATAATAATGAAAAGAATAACAAATTTACAGCAGACCATCCTCCTATACAAGTACAAAGGAGAAGATGGTAAATTAAAAAGGATAACATCAAATGGAGGTGATGCGTTTGCCTGTGAAAACTGTAGCGCGTGGTAAACTCAATAAACTGGGTAAACTCGTTGTCTGCGGTAAGCGCCGATGATTTCCCACGAAGATGATATCAAGAGCACTCGGTTAGTCGATCGGTTAGTCGTCGAGCTTGAGAACGTCTAAGCGAGAGCGATCGATCGGTTCTAGTATGCAGAAGATGAGGACTTCAGAGCATCAGGGGTTCTGTTGATGGATCTGTTCTGACATGGGTAGAAAGGAGAGGATTCGCAAATAGCTCAACTCGCGATCTCTTTGACGTTGCTCGGCGGTAGTTTGAACAAGGAGAATTGGCCCCGTATAGCTAATCAAACTGGCTCCGATCGGCGATAGAAATAAAATGGTAACCACGGATACTTTCACGATGTCCATAGCCATTTGGAGTTCCTCAGATTCCTCTCCGTTCCGCAAGTGTTCGTACGCCATCGGTCCCAAAGCTGCCTTAAAATTCAAGGAATCGATGAATCTCGCTTTCGCGCAATCCAGATTACACACACCTAACCTCGAAGTATAAGCGAAGTCAAGGAGATTCTATATGTATATGTATATATATAATACTTTTTTATTTCGTAAGGCTACCTGCTTGTAACTATTGAATCGTTGTCTCTTATTGTTTGGAAAATCGATCATTGGTTTATTAATTCGATTATTAGTTTAATTCACTGATTATTTGTTAATTCAATGTTATTTGGTTAATCTAAAAGATATCCGATATGTTTAAATGTTTAAAATAGGGACACACCTCATCGATTTCGATGACCTTGAAATATGTTGCCAAAGTCAATTCTAACAATAAGAGAGTAAGTAGCTTTTTCCTACGCTATAATCGCTGCTGCCAATAATAATAATAATATTACGAAATATATAAACTAAATATTATAGACATATAAACAGAAACTGTTTTAACGGCTCTAACTAAAGTTATAACGAAAGAACTAGCATAGCCAGGGCTGCATAATTTTCTCTTACTACATGTATTCTTCATGGCATACCTGTATGGTACCCTTCGGTAGCCAACAAACCACTACGAACAATCGTTCTTTCCACGTCAATGGAGTACGCCAGGTCGCCAAATAGGTGGCGCAACTTCTTCCCTGTGTTCGTCGTGTATAACGAAGGAGACGTATATAACAAAGAAAGAAACGAGTTGAAATTAATTTGCAATTTTTTGGTAATACATATACAGTGATTCTCGAAAATATTTCAACATTTATCGTAGAAAACTTTCATATATGTATACAGGATATTTTTCAGTATTGACGATATAACAGAGAAGGGGGGTGATTCTACATGAAAACAACAAATCGAAAATATCAGATGAATTGTTTCCATTAGAGGTTTTATTTTTGAGAAAACCGACTTTGGAAATTCGTTTGGCGTATGTGAATTTGGCTAGCTATCGACTACTAGGTATGAGTAAACAATCGACAGGTGATTGATTATTCTATGAACACGCAAAGATGTAAAAAAATGTGGAATAAAATTTTTGCATTCAAGGTCCCATTTTCAAGAAAATAAAGTTTTAACATATTTAATTAAAAATTTACCATCAATCCGATTAGAATACATGATATGTAGAGCCCGAATCTGGATACAGACCAATTCACGAATTCAATGTCAGCACCAATGACTCCGACCAAAATCGGTTGAACCAGCTGCCAAAGTGTATGCGTCACTCGTCGAAAGGACGTCGTCTAAATTCATACGAACGTGTTTTCATACGATCAGTCACAAAGTCTACGTCCATATTTACTAATTTTTATTTATAACCAATATGATTAAAAGTTACAGTATAAGAATTAGTAGATTAGTTTAACTGATTTTAATTACGAATAACTGTTATAGATCATCAAAATGTTTTCAGTTATCGATAACCGTTATCGATGAAAAATTTTCCTTTGGTTACCGATAACTCATTATAGATAAGAGAATTGTTTGCCTATAATTATTATGTACGAGAGAAATGTTGTTGTTATCGTCGATAACCATTATTCGTGACAGAATTCTTTTTGCTTATTGATAAACATTTTTCACGACGGAATTTTTCTTTGTTACTGCTAACCATTGACAGTACTTGATGACAGTACATTTTCTTTTGTTACCAATAACTACTACAGGTTAATACCTTCTTATAGAGAGTGTCGAAATAGATCTATTAATCTATATAAATATATCTAAAAGAAATATAATATTAAACTAATATAATATTATAAATAATAAATATAATATTAAATATAATATTAAATATAATATTAAAAGACTATTAATAAAATATATTTAGATGTTCCGATTTAAATGTCTCTCCCCTTGTATAACAAACGAATAGAGGTGACTTTCGTCTAAGTCTAGATAGTACTGATCATTTACGATGACTGAAAATAACCAAAGAAAAATTTCATCACCAAGGATGGTTATTGGTAACCAGAAATGTTCGACCGTTTCACGGGGAGCATCTCCGTTCACAGTATAACGCGTTAAAGAGAGTCGTAAATTGTCGTCTTGATGCGATAATCGACGTCACAAATCAGTCGATCCCCTATTTTGGTTAAGATAATAGGGCTGGTTTGAATGATAGCAACACTGAGTTAACAGTTTAAATATAACTTCTATTTCCAACAACTTTTGAAGAATATAAGTGTCTGCGAATGGTGCGTGCGAGAGACGTCGAAGTGTTTTCAGCGATGTGTCTTCTGATCGAAGAGTTAATAGCAAATGATTTTTTTTTGACAGTGATGTCTAGAAAGAAAATTAGTGATGGGTACTGACCGCCCCCACCAACGTCGCTCGCGGTAGAAATGGCCTTCGAACACCGTATATGAGAAAACTCGCTTATCCCATGTTTTACCGTAATGAGCAATAGCCCCACGGAACGTTTCGACTTGAAGGACGTATTGTGGCAGTTAAGAGTCTCTACAGTAAAGGAAAAAATACAGTAAAGGAAATCGTATGATGGCAATTAACGGTTCCTTGGGATTATTGCGAGTCCGAACAAGTTTGTTTACACAGCTGCCGATCATCTTGTGCGAAGGATGGACGAGAACATGTAGTTGGATCGCAGGACGTAACAAGAAAAAAGTTCTGTCATCGATGATGGTTATTGGTAACAAAAAACATTTTGATCCTTTATCACGTTTATTTGTAACCAGAATGTTTAAAAATCATCTTTTCTTAATCATTTAGTTTTTTGAAGAGTTTGCTCGAGGATTTAGCGATCACTGTCTTCTGTTTAAATGAAAATTACTTTTTTGTTAATGACATTTCTCACAAAAATTTCAAGAATAACTACAACTTTTGGTTCGTGCATGTTTCATCGAAGAAACTAAATACTTATCTTACTCTACTTATGATCTATGAAGAGACGAGTGTAATGAAAAAAAGACGGAACACTTACGTCAAAAGAAACGGTCAAAATTCTCCAACCAACCATGCTGACGAACGACATGACTAAACTGGCGAGGTATCCTCCACCGGAGATGGTCATTTTAGCAGTTGCTGTTGTGCACATCAAAGAGCCAAGCACCAAGCAGATTATTCGATACCAGTTGGCGTTTTTCTAATTCATTGAACGCCGATAGAGGAAATAGGGAGAGGGCAAGGAAAGTGGAAGAAAAGATACTCACGTGGCTACGATGAGGGATAAATACGAAGCAGATACCCAGAAAAGTTCCTGCCATAATGCCCAATATCGAATCGCGAATACCGATGGATAATATGTAATACCACCATTTGCTTCTATCCTCGTCTGAAAAACAATTATAATTATCGATCATTTGTTACAGACGAAAATTCGCCTAAATAACAGATGTGAATGTTACAATTAATGAAGATGGTGATCAAAAGACGCGAAAAATGTATGTACGTAAAGAAGAAGAGAATTTCATTGCGTATATCGAGTTAATGATTGTTATTATCATACATAATTGAATATATGGATCCTTTATAGTCTAACGTTTCTTCGAATGTTACAAAGATAATTCTTAAATTATACGATCATACCGTTGGCGAAGACGAATGAGTAGCAAATCGTGAACAGGGAGATAACATGCACGACGTCGATACAGGCAGCAGTGGAAAGAATCGTAGCGAGCCCATGGTCTTCGCCATAACCATGCTCAGCCAAAGCCAGGATAGAGTTCATGATTAACACTGGCGACATACAGCCGAGTATTGTTCTTTGCACCAATATAAGTTGATAATAAAAACGAAAAATAGTCAGTAATCTAAAAGTAAACGAGCGCGAAGGGGAAAAAAGGGCATATTCCTAGCAGAACCGTATTTGGTAAAATATAACATACTTTGTAATATTGTATTTCAATTAAAAGGGATTTTCTGCAATGAGAATGCAGTTCCACTTTACAGTAATTTGTGTAAACCAATAAAAAAACCAACTCAAAATCATTTTGCATATCCGAGCATGCTATAAATTCATAGTGAACTAATTTAATTTGGGACAAGATTTTGTTTAATTACTCTGTTGTGACATGCATATACAATTCTTACTATGTGCACATCACTATACATTGACACTGACATCGATCGTGTTCATCAATATTTGTATGTATTAATAAACTTTTGCGCTTTTGAATATAAGCATCAGAAAATTGATGCTATATGTGCGAGTCTTTATTATATACATAATAAAACACACGCCGTTAATTGTTCATTTTCTGTTTAATAGAAATAGGGTATGAAAATTAACGATGTATAAATATATCGTATTTTGTAAAACATGGCTTTGCCAGGTATCTGCCAAAAAAGAAAAAGATATTGTCTTGTTTTAGACTGGTCACTCACCCAGCCATAAAAGACCAGTCCCAGTGATACGACAGAATGTATCTGCAGCATATCGAGAGAACGAGAACTTCGATCGAGGAAGGAACGATGGCTAGCATCATTATGAATATAGTATGTTTTCCCAGACTGGTAGTTGACAGCTGAAGTCCAGCGCGTATCATGATAAAGGTTAGGCAAAATGTTCTGATCTTAGAGGTTGTCACTGCACCGAGTTCCTCGTGAATATTGTAAAGTCCAGAATTGCGAACTATTATACCGGCGACTAGCATGCCGAACACCGGTGGAATCCTTAAGTAAGGAATTGATGACAAGCACCAGCCGAGCCAGGCTGAGAATAACGCGAGGATGTATAAACCAAAACCGTCGTTTGTCGGTAACATCGTGTCGCCCAATATAAAATATAAAACCGCCCAACCCATCCACATTATAAACACGATAGTCATTAAATGGAATAATTTTGCCCAGGTGATAAATTTGTATCCGAAACACTGTGAAATAGGCTTCGTTACGATTGCGTTGCGTATCAGAGGAGAAAATATGGTTATTCGATGACAAAACGTGATATCCTCGTATTCGTCTTGTAGCTCGTTATCCATTTTTTACAATCTTCGTTTCTATTTTCTTCAAATTTTAGTCCTTTAATTTACTGATATCATCGTAATCTTTCTAGCTTCGATCGATCGAATCTTGATTCAGTCGATTAATATAGGAACTGATTATTCTTTCCACGTATAGTAATCGTGACACTGTGACATCGAGGTTAAGCTTTTCTTCGATTGTTTTCTTCCGCTTTGAACGGTACTGATCGATACTTGCTTGCATCGAGTATCGATAACCATAGTCGATTTGTGCTTTCTAAGTTATTATTAGTATCAATACAGTTTACTTACATTAATATTCGGATACAGCGCTATCTCTGTATTTGTTAGAAAAAAGTGATTTGATTTTGATCGATTGTGTGCTGGTTTTTATTGGTTTACCTAAATTACCGGAAAATGGTCTCTTGTTGTAGAATGATAAAAAATAGTTTAAAACCTTTAATATATTATTTGTAAATTCACTAATATTTGTAGTTAGTAAACTATTGTATAGGAAAACTCTGCCAATCAAAAAGTTGATTCGCAATGAAATTCGATCGGTTTTCACGGAAAATGGTAGTTGCATCAGCGCTTCCTTTTTTCGTCGGTTTAGTTCGACAAGAAGGACGCGTTCTCTTGGCTTTTCTTGCAAAATCTTCCTCGACTTCTGTTGGTCGGTCCCACTTGGCCTCCCTCCTCTTTCCTTTTATCCCACTTACCTCGACCTGAGTTCGCGCCTGAGTTGCGACACAAGTTCCATCTTCCTTTTCTTCCCTTTGCCTTCCAAAATATACCGCCAACTGTGCAATCGTCACGTCTGAAATTTTTCCTTAAAAGCTCGTATAGCAGACACATTCAATGATGTACGTAACTGTGTGTCAAATTATTTATTATTTTAACTTATCGCGTGTGGACGCTGAAACTTTCCTCATCACTCACTGCGACAAAAGCAAACACAGTATCCATCAAAACTAAACTAATAAACATGCTATAAATTCGTAATAACTATAATTCGTAGTAATAAAATTCCTAGTAATCTTCCAGTAAATACAATTTTTAAATGTTGAAACTACCTCCTTATTGTTGCATTAATAAGAATTAATTTGTAATTGTTACAGATTACAACGCATATTTTTTAAAGAAGCCGCAAGAAACAGCTTTTCGTTGACATCGCACAGCTCTGAAAGAATAACTTATGTAAGGGTAATATTATTTATCCAAAAAGCTCGCGAAAGTATTCATGTAGAACTTTTATAGAAGCCTTCTATAAATATGAAATATATATCTTGCAATTTGTACATACATACATCTTTTCACATTGCTTTTTAAATTTTACCAATGTAGTCACGTTAGTCGATTCTTATTAAAGCGCCAATGACATTTCAAAACTTTTCATATAACGTACACAATATATTCATAAAAATTCTTTATTAGATGTTCAAATACTTTTTCATGAGCCACCGTTTATATTTCAACACTCGAAATGTATAAACTTTAGCTCCCCGATGATTTTATGATCTAGCTATACGTATAGTTTCCAGCTATAATACGGTAGAACGAACGGAACGAACCCCCCATTTCCTCGCTTCTACTACTTCCTTTCCCTGTCTTTCGTCCGCAGTTATACGTATCAAAGCGGCTTTAATTATCGTTTGGATAATTTTTAATACGATTTCGGCGAAAAGTCGCGAGTCATTCGAGCATGTATTTTCCCCAGGTCTTTGACCCGAGCTAACCACTTAAATCACCGGTATTGGATTTGTGTCTGGCTGGGAAAATAGCACTCTTGGAAAATGAATATCTATTTTGGTTGTTGAAACGACGCAGTCGTTCGTACCAATAGGTAGTCAGACGTCAAGTGGATTTCAGGTTATTGAACCTGCTCATTGATCCTTTTCCGTACACCGACGCGCGTTTGCCATCGAGTTACCGCGAGCAGCGCCTACCACCAACACCTTTAACCCCGGATGCGATTTCGCCGACATCGGCATGGCACCAGCACGGCACACCTCGTCTCTCACCCTTTCCATACTTTATCCCTTCTTTCGATCTTCCACCAATTCGACTCGCATGAAAATTTAACCAAACGCGGCAAACATTCCACCTACCAACGATCGATAACACTTAACGATCGATGATTATCGACGGCCAAGAATTCCGAGCTTCTTGGCTTCCATATTTGTTCCTACAATACCACATATCTGCTGAATCGTCAACTCTTGATACGCACGTGTGCACACAGTTCTCTGTATATCAATGCTATGTATATTCTTTATCATAGGTGTTAGGGCATTTGGAAAAAGTTAAGTAAATTTGGGTAATGGAAAAATGGAAATATTTTATTTACATATCTATTTATATTGTATCGAGGCTTAGGACTGTAAAATTTTTTATTTATATGTAGAAAGATCAATTTTCATTCCTTCCATCTATATTTGCCGATATTGGCCGTCGTATAAGCCTATCTTTCTTCTGAGAACACTTTTGTTAAAAAAATGCCACTTACAGTCTTTGTCGTATCATTCTATAGTCTACAATCCCATGTAAGATTGGCAGCAATGTTAGGATAGGTATTAAATATATAAACCGATGGTAAACGCAACAGAAAGGAAAGAGAAATTTGTGTACGTTATTCCTGGACGATTTACATATACATATATATCTGCTAGCTAGTTCTCGACAAACTGTCGCAATGCGCCGCGCCACTCGATTCACCGTGTATTCGCATTGCGAGACGGCCATCAAATAATGACCGAGCGCAAACATCGACACGCTAATGGTAAACTATTTTATACGATCATCTACTTTTCGTTAATTATACATTCATCGTCGTTGTGTGATTCCACGTTTTTGTCAATCCTTTTTTTCCTCCGATTTTTGTGAGGAAGATCGACGGTCGTGATAATTATTCTTAAGACAAAGTCTTAAGCCGCACCTTCACTGAAGCAATAACAAGCAACTTTTTGTTGCCTGCCGTTACATGTTCCAAACACGTACTACCCAACAAGTCAACATTGCAGAAACATTGCGTCCACACCGACATTGCTGAAGTTGATATTTATTCCTAGCAATAAAAACACATTGAAGTGCCATGTATTGCCATGATTTTTTCATTTCTATTAGATTTTTATTTTATTTTATTTCTCTTTGCTTTCGTTCGCTCCAAACGGAAGTAGGCAATAAGCTGCAACTTTTGTCGCTGGATAGAGTTACTACATAGAAATGTGAAGAAAAATGAAGGAACATTAAATAACAATCAGGACAACATTTTCAGGAAACGTGAAATATCAACAGGAAGTTCCTCGTTGTTGCTTCAGTAAGGACGTAGCTTCACGATCTCGTGGAACATACATGGGACGCTTGCTAGTCTTCGTATCGCTTTACATATCGCGTCTCTCGCGTTCCGTGTTCGTCCATTTGCTCGTCCATCCCTTGCTGCACATCAGTGTGCGTCGTCGCGCGTCTGTTTGTCCGTTCGTCTCTATCCCATCCCTCTCTTCCTTTGTCTGTCCGTTAACGAAAGATCCTCTTTGTGCGCTTCAACTAGTTACCGGTACAACGTGCTTCGGTGAACATTGTTTCTCATTTTGCTAACGACATACCTATGCTTCCCTGACATTTTACGTCCGCGAAGATTCGATCTCTGCGCCTCTGTGTTCTCAAACATGCAGAGAAGAGAGAGAGAGAGAACGAGAGAGAAAGATAAACCGATTCGTCTTTGTTTCGAACGATCTGAACTCGCCTTGAAAAAGTTTGCAACCTTTTCGAACCGATCCTCGCCAACGTTTCGCCGTCGGTGTTCGTTCGCTAATGCTTTTCCACTCGTCGACTACGTCTCAACGACGACGAGCATTCGCTTAGTTTATTAGCGACGATTTTAATCTCTCTACAAAAGAGAGGATAACGAGGAGGGAATAGAGCAGAAACCAAAGAAAGAGACCAAGTTAGAAAGCAGAGAACCATGCGAAAGAGGCTTTTCTTCTTTTGATGCTCCTACTTAGCGTACACGGGTCCGTGTTTCGTGTCGTACGCGTGGAAAGAGTACCCTCGAAACTGGCCGTAACGACCGGTAACCCCATCCTAAACGAAGCCTTAAAGAGGGTAGGGCAGGGTAACCGTGTAACAAGAGGCTGTGCAAAGGGGTTGAAGAGTCGCGAAACCATGGAGGGGAAGCACGAACGACGTCTACGGGCACGGCGTGACGTGGCTGTATTGTAACTCAAGACTTTTCTTGCACTCGTCTTTCTCTTATCCGTCGCGCTCCGCTCCTCTCTACATTTGCGCATAAAACTGTTTTCTACGTCTCGTTTTGCCTCCTTGTCCTCTCTCCCTTTCTTTCAACCTTTGCTCCTTCTCCTTTACCTTTAGCTCATCTCCTTTACCTCATTCTCATTGCGACGTTTTCTCACGCCTCTCTTCGCTAAAAACATGGTTTCTCTTCTTTATAGTTAGTTTCTCTATCCCTCTCTCGTTGTCCTCTTATCCCAGATTAAGCGCACACTACAAGCACAGTAAAATCGTTCCGAAGTGTTTCACCCATGTCCGGGTTTTATTTTATTGAGTCACCTATTCGTGCAATCTTCTCGGGGAAATTTCCTTTCCTAATTCCATAGGAGTGAAGATTCGAGCACCGAGACGAGTTAAAGGCAATGTTTAAGTTGCGCGCCCCTGGTCTAGACTATGCGGGAACATACACAGGGAAAATTTTGTTGACGTATCAAAGTTGGAGTCACGTATGAGTCCTTGAAGAAGAGGAACTAAAGAAGGGAGGAAAGTAGGGACAGGGCGACAGGGGATGAACCCTGCACGAAACCAGACAGTCGAGTTATGGCGATTAGAATTCTCTGCATGGATCATTTCGAGCTTATTGAGACGTGCATCTTCGGTGCAGGGTGTAGTAACTACTTACGTACTTAATGTATGCAAATCGCGCGATTTCACATTTCATGGAACATATGTTGTATAGAAAAAACATATTCAGCCGAAACTCAATTATACGGAACACGTTTGGACCGCTGTGCAAGCGTAGGCAGATGGAGGAAACGTTGGACTATGTCCAACCGGATGATAGTCTAGGTTTGATTAACTGCTCGACTATCAACTGTATCCGTCGTTTTCATATAATACAGATTTATGTGCTATCAGAAATTTATATATCGTGAATTTATATATATATATGTATATTTATATATCGTGGGTGAAAATTCTTATTGTTAGCGTAGTTTATCCTTTCTAAGCAACGGTAATGTTCATTAGCAATCGGTGTTAACGTTTTCGATTGAACTTTACCTTTAATCTAAAGTAAGTACTTGCGTTGATATTGGTATAATCAAGTAAATGCAAGTTTGGTTTAAATGTGCTTAGCTATACCTCAACTAGCTTTTTTGGAGATAAAATTCATGTGAATTCATAATTTTATAATCTGTCTTTCCTAATCTTTGTAGATAAATTATACTCCCTTCATAAGTATTAGGACACTTAGGGAAACTGAGATAAAGCTCAGAAATTATTTGGATATCATTAAAAACTTGAAGATTATTACTATTCGGTTTGAAACATTAGATGAAGATAAACGGAAGCTCCGGATTTTATCTGAATAAAATATTCTCGTATATGTACACGATGACAATAAAAATCTCGTTATTGTATGGGATAAGATTAAATTTCTCTCATTTACATCTTCCACGTCTATTATCATTGCTAGTCCAATTGCCAATCCCAGCGTTCACGTATATATTAATTCTTTTATTATACTTCGTGTTATTTGGTTCCAAATTACCAATCAAATTTTGATTGAATTTCTCTGCATGCTGCATTCACTGTCTTCAACGTTTTTCAATGAAATTTGGAGACTATGATGACCAACATACGATTGTTAATTCATAATGCCTTTTGTAACTCCTACAAATAATGTTTGCAAATTCTTGAATGTTCACTTTATATGAATGCAAAGTTTTGATTGACCAATCATTTCCTTGAATTAGCTATCACATCTTAGATGTTCCAATATTTACCAACGTGTATATTAATTATGATATATGTATTTCTATGTAATATATTGTGCTTTCAGATCGGTTTCAAATTTGATCAATACAATCATGACAGCCGTGTTCCATTACAGTGTTAAATAAATTTCCAAGTGCTGCATGTGACGCATATATATATAACACAAGATTATCATAATACCAAAGAAAAGAAGGTGACGACAAAACGAAAAGGTGACGCTTCTTTCATAACACACTGTAATAAGAATAAAAGAGTAAAAAGAGAACGATTCGAATTGAGCGTCACTGCGACTTCGATGAACGACGTCGGGAGTCGAGAGAGGCAGCGCCTCTCTTCGGGTCGCTACATACTCGGTTTAGCGTTCGGGCGTATTCGGTTTTCCCTGGTCTGGCACCAAGTTGCCAATGAGTGCCGCGAGTCGCGACGTAGCATGTAGCTTCGCGTTGCCAGTCACCGACGGAGCTTGATCGTCTACGTGCCTCTCGAAAGCAGCGAGTTTACAGTTCTGTGATCGAAAGAACAGTTTCTTCCAATCACAACTTGTATTATCTTCGACACACTCTGCGTATTGATCCGAGAATGATATTCTAACAGATGTGTCATGTAAATTTTGCCTACGTTTCCAGTAGCAACATCAAATATGTCTAAAATTGCTCCGAAAACTATATCGATCCGACGTTCGGGTGAAGTGAATACGAACGTGTAGCGTGTAGCTGTGTAGAGTTGTGTAGCGTCGTCGCGTCATTCCGCGCCACTCGCCGATTTGTTTTGACATGTGTGTGTTCTGCCATATTGGATTAACACGTCGTATTTTAAGAGCTAAATAGGCGCGAGTTTCGCGCTAAGAAGGTATGTTTATTCACTCTTTCGATGCGCATTGTCGTTCGTGTAAAGCCTTGTCAATATAAACGACCGTGTTTTCACGACGCGTCTAATTGAACAAAAACGTTGCCCAGGATAAACCTGGGTTATTGTTTCGACTTAATATAATTCCACGGTGATACCTCTCTTGGTGTCGATTATTGTGTATATGTCAGAAAATTTATATCGCGAGGTCGAAAAATGGCCGTCGCGTCCTTTCCATTTCATTTGTGCGGACCAACTATATGTATATACGGGAAATATTGGAGAAGAAATGGGAACTAGAATTATAAGTTATATGTTTATTAATGAAACTACACCTGTTTATATACAATATGTATATATATACATATGTGTACACATATACAGTGTTTATATAGTGTACACATTCACAGTGTGTATCTGTTTCGAAGCAGAAACAATCCATCTATCAATATAATTACAGAATGTTAATTCGTGGCCAGCTTCAAGAACATATTTACTAATAATTTCGAGTTTGCATGGACAACTGGAATGAAGACATGTTCTTTAATTAATATACTTGCGTATTCTGTCTGAAGTCGAGGAAAAATTGATTAGCCACTTTCGCGGTTCTCCGATCGATCGAGGTTCGCATAGTCGTCGCGAATCTCCTTCTCGACGAAATGACGCCAACGATATTTACTTTCGTTTGCCTTTCTAAGGTTTGAGGCTTGGCTAACTCGTACATCGATTTGTCATGTGTTGAGACAGATTTGATAGGATCAAAAACGGTAAGCGTTGCCAGATTAGGTAGTCAATGATAGGGCAGCAGCTCTTCTTTTAATAGCTGTCATCATTGTGATTGCGTTGTTCGCTGTCATCGATGGGTGCGATTCTTTCAGCGTATGTAGTAGCTTACTTACGTAATCCAACTGTTAGTACGTTGGGCCGCTTGCTCATGGTGATTCATCTTTTGTATCGTCTGAGATTTTTGCGATTTTCTTTATTCCTTTCAAGTTCACGCTGCATTCGCACTATGAATGAAATGGCTCGTTGTAATACACATCGTGTAATACACATATGTTAGGATTTCGGATACGCCACGAAATTCACTGCAACGCAATATTTCATAGACACTCGCATAGGGACGAGATGATACAATCAAAGAGTGAGGAGCAAGGAGGATTGTTTAAAGTGGCATTACCGCGTGCCTCTCCTGCGAAAAAAAGAACACGCAAACATTGAACGTGACCTGGTTTACCTAGGCTATTCTTAGGTATAGCCATTCGTTTGAAACTCTGTGTGCATATGTGTGCGTGCGCGCGCGCACGTATGAACGAATCGCAGAGAATAAAAAATAATATCAGCTGTTTCTGCATTTTCCAGTTTTTGATACAAGATTGTTGGTAATTATAGTGTCGTTAATTCGTCGTTGATTAAAAACTCGCGTTTAGTCTTGCGTTTAATCTTACATTCAATCTACACTTTGCGTCTCGACATCGAATACTCGAAGAACTCGTACATGGAACGAGTTTCTTCTTAATTAGCCAATTACTAACGGGAAAATGTCAGTACATCTTGTAAGATTAAATAATTCCGGTTGATTTGTCTTGAAAATTAAACTAGTTTTTGTTTCGACAAGATAGTCGATTGAGGTTAGGGAAAATTTCTTTGATGTTTCGTGATTCATGACGAAGAACGGTATATAGAAATGATTCTACGTCATTGATTTACCTTGAAATTTAAACGAATGCCTTTGTTTTTCACGACATAGTCGATTGAGGTTAGGAAGAATATTCATTGATCTCTCGCAACGAAGAATGGTATAAAGAGATGATTCATATATTGAAATTAATCGCTGACGGAATACTACGTTCACTTTTCTTTAACGAAATCATGTTCGAACAAGGTTTAACCGTAGTATTTCATTTACGTTCCAGAGCAATACGTTTTCGGGACAACGATGGATCGTGCAACGAGAATCGCGTGGATCATTTAAGGTACGAAATCGATATCATAGGAAGAAGTTAAAGTTAGCGGCAGAGCTAGTCAGCGCTGGACCAGGCTAACTTCCGTTTGCTCGCACGCACATTTTTGTATACTAGGTGTATCATTAGGTTATTAGATCACCTCGCAACCAATTGAATACAGTGTTGTCTAAGAGCGTTATGCTTGTCATAATGTATTTTAAGTAGAAAATTATGGATAAATTGAACTGCAGTGTTTTTATTCTTTATAACTGTCGTAGTTATATATAATAGGATATTACGATGCGATTGAATGAATTTTTAAAAGTCAGCATGTTATTTAATGCTAGCTTCAGATTATTTAATTTTTGCATTATAGATTAAGTCAAGAATATTCTGTAAAAATAACAGAAAAGCTTAGAACGCTAATGCAATAATAAATCTATATAGTAACATATATAGTAAAGAATAAAATATATAGTATTGTTACATCTTTTAGTAGGTAATTTAATCCTTTCGTTTAATTGCGTTCTTTGAATCATTTCCGGTCCAATCGTGTCTTTCTATTCTTATCAAAGAAAATTATGACAGAATCATCTTTAATATCCATAGTGTCTAGCTTGAATTTTACGTTGAAAATTTTCTTAAAACATTGAAACATTGCTTTGCTTCTGGCTTACTCGAACGAAAGTGAGGTTAGAAAAAAAGAATTAAGGTTAAGTTTATAGTTGGCTGAATTTATAGAAAAGCTATAACGAGCGCTGCTTCTGATTATTAATTCATCATTAATTTGTACACCTTGTGTTAATCGAAATGCCGATAGTATACATCGACGAAAGCATCCAAATATTTATAAACGGTAGCGTTGTGTGTCACAGATCACAGGACGAAAATTTCAAACACGAGATATTATTAGAATTAGCTTCCTCTTGTTGAAAGTTTGTTGCTCGTGCTTCCACTTTCTCTATTTCGTTTTATATTTCGAATACAACTTGCTGATATAGAATTCAATTTTAGTTCAATTCCTCAACTATAAATACGATACGTTTCGCTTATTATTCGACATTCGTAAACTTAAAATTCGGACAACGAACATGGACCGAATTTTTGTCAGGATAATTATCCAAATTAGCGATTGTCAGCTATGGGCTTACGGACACTGATGAAATACTTGAAGTACTTGATACTAGTTGGATGCTGCTTGTGTGATATGCACTGCAAAAATTTACTGCGTATGTTTAAATTCTTACATGCAAAATATATTTTTTGGTATTACTGAAATTTAAATCCCTTGTGGTTAAACAAACATACTTTACTTGTACTCACTCACGTCAACATTTTTTTAATGTTCTAGATTCTAGCTTATCAAAAAGAATCGTAAAAGATTCTGGAATTTATTAGTCTACTACACTATAAATTCAGTTTTTAAGTGAAACGTTTGAAAGGTTTCCTGGAAAAAATAAACGTTTTGCTTCGTAGAAATTCTCAAGTGATTGATCCACGAAGAAATTCATTTTGATCTTAATCCTACATATGTATGAAAAGCACGACGTTGGAGACTCCCAACATACATATGTCATAGATCGTTAAATAATCCTTAAAAAATTCTCTAGCTTTAGTGTTACTTCTGTTCGAGCATCATCGAAATGGAATTGGCAGAATGCGTTGCTAGCTTGTCAACAATTCCTTAACGATGCATACTCGCGAGATACCTACGATAAAATTTCAAGATCTTTTGCATGTTACATACATAAAAAGTTTTTACAAGTATTCAAATACTTTCGATATATATATCGAATATACATGGAGACGTATACACGGAGAGTTTATTCATCAAATGTACAAACATCTGTGCAATATATACATATATATATGTCTGTCAAAGTAATACGTGCGGATGGAAACCCTGTCTGTTTTGGTGCACCACAAACAAACGTCATAGATACACGCATCGAATCACGGTTCGAGCGTGCAGTCTGCAGGAATCTTCGGTACCCGCAGCGATAAACAAGCCAGGATACATGGAATCGAGTTCTGCTTACATTTAAATAAACCCGAGTGTGTATTTCCGCAGGCTAGCGTGTTAAGTTGACAAAAACTTAGGAATTGAGGGAAAGTTAATCTCATTTCATGTCCTAAAATGCTTCGAACGATTGCAAAAATTGCCGACGATCTTGCGCCGCTTCAACGATTTCTTCGATCGTATCTCTCGTTATTTGTTCGACGGAGAAACGGATCATAATGACACAAGATGGCCGGAGAAGAAAACAGTAACAGCCTCGTTTAGATTAGTCAAGTTGCTGCAGTTCGGATAACTTTGTTCTTCGATTCTCTTCAGCAATTCGAAAATCGATTTCACCAAGGTCCATAAATGTTTTGCAGAGTAGTATTCGTTTAAAAATTTCGAGCTAGGTTTTCAATGGGATTGAAATATGGCCGACTCTGCGCGGACTACTCCGACGAGGAAAATTTTCGCATCGAAATTCAAGCAATTGAAGCGCGATTTCTCGTCTCAGTTCTATGTGCAGTATCTTAAAACGAAGATAGAAATATAAAAATTCGAGAATCTCGATAGCATTCAACGTACAACGTGGCGTTGATCGACAAAACAGTGAAACGCGGATGTAACGCCCCCCTCCCCCTCTTTCTTCTATATAGATGTACAACATACATATACACCAACTTGGATGTAATAGAATATACAAGATGTGGGAACGCTGTGTCCTGCATTTCACACAGTCCCCCACCCTTTTATTCTATCCTCAAATGAAGTTACCATTTTTCGACAAACATTTTAGTTTATGGAAATGAGAACCTTCCTGGAAATGTTAATCAATACGGGTTCATTTGTATTATAGATTGTTCTCCGGTTGTAGATTTTCTATCTCTGTTGAATCTTACGTCAGTGACGATTTTAGCGTGCATGGATAATCATCGAAGAGCTACAACTAGGCAATAAAAAAGATAATACGAGCTTGGGCGGTACATTCCCACTCTGCATGCGATGAAGCAAGGTATGGGCGTAGACCAGCTGATTTTGCAAATTTCCATATGAATTTCCAAAACCACGATCTTTTGTTCGACTCTTTTGTCAGGTATATATAGGTAGTGATGGTGGAGAACGGTTATGACACAGATTTCTTAGAACAGTTATGAAACTTCATTCTGGATAACTCTTGCAAGGAATCGAAGTTTCTGTTTTCAGCGGAATAGTATTTAAGTTTCAATTCATTAGGTGTACCTATGAAGATATGAGTTTGCACAAACATAAACATGCACAGTGTCTACCGATGAATTTAAATACACACTAAATATTTGATGCTATAGAGGTTTGGTCTCGAATAAGCAAACATGTTGTATATGTATACAATGACGTGATAAACTTGAATTTGTCCGATGATCCCTACTGTTTTTTGCCTGGAGGATTAACTCTGCTCTTTTCGTTGCCAGAGTTTGCCTTCGTACTTTCTCTATCGGTGCCTCTTACATAACGTTACGCTTCACCTATCTCACCGGTGCGGTGAGAGAATTAGCTGTAGCCTAAGCCATAAATAGAGAGCAGAATCTCGTTTGCAACGAACTTTGTAGAAAGTGATGGAATCGAATATTTTTTCCCACTCTACGTTGCTTTATCATTAAGCTGTGCACGTTTATACGAATTCAAATTTTTCTCATCATAGCTTACAAAAAAGTGGAACCTAAGCAGCAATTTGTTTTATTATAATATAGCAAATGTAATGAAATATATAGAAATACGTGGAAATGTAAGGAAATACGTGGTGAAAAGGAGAACAGACATAAGACAAAGAAAGAATTACGCAAAGAAATCAGCTGTGATACAAGAACAAGAGACAGTGTCAAAAATAGATATACAGTTGGTTGGTAACTGGTGGTACAAGCGAAAAGGGGGTGATTCTACGCGAAAAAAGGAGTCGAAAATATAGAATAAAAAAATTTTTTTTTTTTTAATTTTTCCATCGAGACAACGATCTACAGTGAGATCCGTTATAACGAGACGTGACAAAGTGCACGCGTATCGAGCGAAAATTCAAAGTCGATTTTCTCGAAAACAAAGCCTCGAACGAAAAATTGTTATTCTATATTTTCGACTTCTTTTTTCGCGTAGAATCACCCCCCTTCCGCTTGTATCGACAGTTACCAACCACCCTGCATATATGTATGTATTTAGTAACAAGAAACAGGCAGATTCAGTTGTGCTTTGTATCTTAATTCTCAGAATTGTGTATGCATATTTACTACTATATATATAGGTTATATCTTTTTAGCTCTAACAATACTAATTTCATACTAGGTTTTAAGTTTACATGTGTGTTTGATACATTTATGCTAACGAGTAGAGAAACGTAGGGGAATAAGAATGTAAAAACCAAAAATCACCTCAAGGACCGAATGAGCAAATGAGGTATCGATAAATAAATATTTTGAATATTTCATATATTTTTGCATATTACGTGTATTCAAAATTGAATAGAAATATCAAGCTTTGATCTGATTACACCACGCGTCTAGATATTCATACACGGTAATGGTACATGTGAACGCCTGCGTAAACATTTCGCTTTCCTATAGTTTACATTTAACGTTGCATGCGTTGATTATGTAAGGTTCTCGTAATTACACCAGATTCGCTTCTGTCTTGAAGCATCGTAAAATTCCTCGTACGAAAAGCAATTATTCACGGTGGTTGGATACAGGCAGATAGATCTCCGATTCTTTTATCGATATTATAAAATAGAAACCACTGTACATATGTATGAACATAGTTGTAAGGTAGTATATATACACATACAGTATAGAATAGTAAAGTCGATATAGTCGCATTATTCTCTTCTTCTAAATAATAAGACCATGTTATTTGCATATGTAAAAGAAAACAACAATGCTTCAGTTTAATAGATAAATAGGCTAGTAACAGTAATTTAATGGATAAACGTATTAGTCAAGTGAAATAATATTGAAATTTATTTGTCATTATATAATCCTATTAATATTATATATTAATAAAAAAATGGCCATTCGTAATTTTTTATAATAATATTATAGTAGAATAACATTATAGTAGATATAATAATATTAGTATCTCTACGTCTATTGTATTTCCATATCGATTATTCGAATAAACAAAGTTTCTGCGCAACGATATTACTATCGTACGAAATCGTCTGATTTCTGGTTGTCATGGGTGCAGCAGAGAAATGGAATCTGAATTCGATCGTGACACGGATCTCAGGGCATTGGAATCGAAACATCTTTGACACCTCTGATACATGTTTCAGAAGTACGAAGCGAGTTCAGCTAAGATAGTTATGCCTATAGCTATACCCTATGGCTATACCTATGGCTATGCATATAGGGCGAACGGTGCCATCTCGTTGCCGCTTCCACGCTGATAAAATCGATTTACGTACACAGGTACACGGGCGCCGATATTATATAATCTGTGTGTAACTACAATGTGTACGTTGGAAGGAAAGGTAGAAGGAATCGGTTGCATCGCAGAACGAGAAGCGCTCGTTCCAGGCAGATATCGATTTCCGACAGCGGCGGCTTCTCTGGTCAGAGAATTTGAACCGTTTCTCTCGGTTATTCGGTCCGCCGATTTAGCATGCAAAACGTGTTTTCGCGTGACAGCCTCCACTGGATTACCATCGGATATAGGGCGACGATATCGAGAGATTTTATTCGTTTGCCGCTTCTACAGCCACTGGTTATCGCGTGTTGCCATATTCGTCACGCTTCCATAATCAGTTACTTTTATATATTGATATACCTACCGATCTTCCAAAAGGATAATTGGAACATTAATGTTGTGTTTTCTGTTTTTTACAACGCTACTCGATAAACATTTGGAATGGATGGTTGCTTGTAAACTAATTGACAGTAGTACACTTTATTAAGCGCAGTATAACGAATAAAGAGAGAATGACACTAATTTGAGAAATATCCATTGCAACAACAATGGAGGCATATCACGAGGATTAAGTTCTCACTTTTCCTTTGTTCTAATCGCCGCTAATCTAATTCTCGTTTATTTCAATTTTCCATCTTCTCTTGGTGTCTTTCTTTCGGTTTTAAAATTTCATTAAATCCATATATTTACGTAATGTGTTTCAGATACAGAGAAACTGATTAGGATCGAATGGAAAAGAAAATATCCATTTTGATATTAGGATGAAGCATACAGTAGGGTTTTTATGCGAAGCAGAAATAAGATAGTATCGCAGTCGAGAAGGGAGAGAACAATCCATTAAGCGTGTCGTGTCATATTATTCACATTATTCATATTACTCGCATTATTCGGTGAAAATCTGCGTACCCTAATTACGGTATTTATGAGACCGCCGTGAAAGCTTTATTATGAGTTACTCCAAGAAACAACTACCCAGGCGTTGTGCTTTCAAGTAAAAACGATCTAATTCGTTGTTTACGGCCGTAGAAAGCGTCGAAGAAATTTACATTTACCTGTTATTACTCTATCAAAATTATATAAACGACTGTATTTTCTAGTAAGTAAATTTAATTATCACAGGGTTAACAAATCTTTTCGCTCCACTCGGCGATTTATCGCTACAATCAGTAAGTCGAATAATACATTTTAAAATGTGAAAAGAAAGAAGATAACTGTAGATAAAGTGTCCATCTAAATTAAGTTGTATGTATTTATTGTTTGATTTATAGTAGACATCTTATTATCTTGTACAGAAATTTTCAATGACTTTCATCTCTTAGTTTATGAGCTGTCGAATATACATGTACGCGGAGGAACGACTTTATGCACTTGCATCTCATTGGCATGGACAATTTTGTCTGATCCGACAATAATCCCATCCGGTGAAATCGAAAATTGATTGAAAGCTGCGATTGATGTAAGCAGCCAATTGAATTTTTCCCCTGCGTGATTTGCCCTGGCAAAACATTTTGAACGCGTCGCTTAGCAAGAGGCTTAGTTCAGCGAACGTGCCTGGGAGAACTTGGCTGTACTACCAACGTTCCTAACGTGTGATCAAAACAAACACGTCGAAAAGAACAAGCTGATCTCGCTATCGTGTTTATCTACGATTTGTTGATTTAACGCCTCCTGGACGAGCTAATCAGCGTGTAAAAGCAGGGCGCATGATTTGCATTGTAAATTTCCGCTACAAATAACGATATCTCTGTAAAGGTTAATCACGACACAAAGCATTAGAAAGAGGGAATGCGCGAAGGGGTTAAACGTTGGCGATGCGACGAAAAGTGCAAGGTTAGGTTGTGTCGACGAACAGACGGATACACACGCGGCTGGATGGACGGATAGATGGATGGGTAGGGACGAGCATACTGCTTCGAGGTTGGTCTCGTGAAATATGCAAGCTGCAATCACGTCTCTTGAATAGAAAAGGTCAGGAACAAGAGAGAAGGAGAAGGAGTAGTCGAGCAAGGGATGGATGGAGGAACTGGAGGAAGGGAGCAGACAGAACAGAGGGGAAGTGGAGGATGCAGGGCGGAGAAGGAGAGAAAGAGAGAAGTTGCGAAGTGAAACGCTCAAAGGGTGGTGGGGAGAAGTGGGAAGAATGGCGGAGGGAGGCCGGGGGATGGATGATAGCAACGTCGAGAGTAGAAGTAGAATCGTGGGCCGAGACAGATACTACTGGCAGGAAGAAAAGGGTCCTGAGAGAGGAGACGAAAGAGAGAAGGAGACCACAGGCCGAAAAAGAGAAGAGGAAAAAGCTGTGCCTACCCTCCGCGCGTTTTGAAGAGCACCACCGGTCGTAATACTGCTGAAACTGCGAGACCCTCTTGCACTCGTTCTGCCGCGTTTGCAAAAAATTTTCATAACTAACCGATCTATCGTTCCGAATCTCTGCTTCCCCTTTCGTTCTTTTCGCCATTGTATAGGATATTTGTATATCATAATATACGGTTACTGCCATTAACGTTCCAATTAACGTCCGATTAACGACACTACGTATCATCCCCCTGTTTGTTGTTTTGCGTATAAGGGTGCCCTCGTGTAATCGATAATATCGTCGATATTTCAAGATTTTCAATGTTGACGATATTGTAGGAGAGAGTACACGTTGATCACTTTAGTCGAGAACCTTGGAATATTGACGATGTACGTGGTATGCCAGCTTTATCCGGCCTAACGTCGTCATTTATATTTTGTAAGAGAAGATAAGGGAAAAAGTGTATAATAAACGTACGCCATTGATGGAGTAGATTAAACAGATGTTTAATTTATAACACGCAGAATCTCACTTTCTCGTCTCTGTATATAACCGGTAAAATACGGAACTGTAATTTCTAGGAACAATCGTGTCTTATCTGGCTTCCGTTTCTTTCGCTCGAAACTACACGAGATCGACGAAAATTCACAGAACTGTTGTTTGTTCCAGGTCGGGGGCGATCAATGCCCGATGGCGTGGACTGGAACGCAACGCTGGAGAAATCCTGCTCCAGAGTAAGTAGAACTCTTTGTAAGACAAATGGCCGGGAATAAAGATGAAAACTTGTTTCGTGCGGCTTTTACTTTCCTTCATATTCGATAAATCAATCGCGATATTCGGATCGCCGTAACTCGAGCCTTTGTAATAATAATTTGAGAAAGCCTTCGTCTATCCAGCCTTTATTCTTCTTTCTTTAAGGTATACAGGGTGTCTCAGCTAAACGAGATCATCCAAATATCCGCCTTATGTACAAAGTTGTTAAAACACTAATGTTTGAAAATCGATGCGAAGAAACATTTCGTTTTATATTTTCAAGAAAAATTTAATCTCCGCCTGGAATAAAAGTAATGTCCAAAATGCAGTACAGCCTAATGCGAAGTTGTCGTTCTTTGTATTTCCGAATTATTCGCGCGCTGGCGTGCGCCCGTAGAAAGTACAGACAGCCAAGAAATTTCTTTCCGGAGAGAGAATCTCAGATACGCGCGAGGAATATGACTTTCGAATCTCAGAGTGTTTTACTTTTGCCAGATATCATCGTCACGGTGCAGATACCTTAAAAAAATCAATGATTTTAAACGAGGCACGTGTAGGACAAATTTCAAACTATTAATCGTCGTACAAAGTTTTTTGAGTGGTTTTTGTTCGTTAAATTTCTTACTCGAGAAGTTCGAGGAAGCAGTCACATTTTAGCTTTTCCCGTGAGGTTCCAGTTACTGAAGTTGCTCTCTGTCGTTTCACGTTGTCAATCGAGTCGAAGAAAAAGAGTGGAAGAAAAAGAGGAAAGGAGTCAAAGTATCGGCTTGACATCGACATTGGCCTTCGATCGATTCGAAACGCGGAAAGAAATCTGGATGGCAAAGCGGCACGAGCAGTAATAGGCGAGTTCTTTCGACTGCGAAATCGATATGTATACTCGGTACTCTCGGCCACTCTACCTTTCAGACTCGATGAACAAGGCAGAAGGTTTCAGCCTTGTCAGACTTCGAGCTCGAGCATCTTTTATCAGAGACAGTCTCGATTGGATGCTCCGTCGTGATTCTAATTATGAATAATCGAGAAGCGCGCCTAGGGAAATTTACGTCGTAAGCGTTATTTTGCCTGGCAATTAATTGGCAACTTGTCACGTTATTGATTTTCTAAGAAACAAAAAATAACGAAATTTCGTTTTTCATCCAGCTTATTCTTACTGCATCGATTATCTGGCCTCTATTATCGCTAGACCGTGCATGTTTACGCAATCAGACGCAGGAAATGTAAAGATGCAGGAATATATCGCAGAAGATATGCAAAGTAAATAATTCACTATAATTGACTTCTCCATGGGCAAAACAGATCTCTACTTTGATTCTATTTATCTACGTTTTCGAATCTATGAGATCGCGATAATTAGGATGGAGGAACGCGATGCTTCTGCGTGAACTAAACTAAAAGGAAAGGAACTGCCAAGATTTCACTTCCAGTGACACGTATAAGGAGAATAAAAGGCGAAACAGGAAATAATAATAACAAGCGATCCCATTCACGCAAATCATACATACGTAGGAAAGAACTGCTTGTTAATCTCTGAACAGATTACATCGTAATGCATTTTTCAGGGAAAAGAAATTTAACGTAAGAAAAGAAAGTGGAGAGAAGAAACGGGAGGAGAATCTCGTTAGTTTCACGGAATGTTAGATTACAGCGTATTTCGAGGGAAAAAGGTTTTAACCTAGAAGAGCGGAAGGAGAATAACGTGGTGGAAGAGTGGAGGGTGTGTTTGTCTTTTCGCGATTCTATTGATAGACGGCGCCACCGCGCGGATTAATTATCAGTTATTGCTGCTGGCGCTGGTTGCGGAGAAGAAGCGAAAATGAGAATGGAAACGGGATGGAGAATAGCAAGCGAGTACGAGGAACAGAGTGAAGGAGAGTAGCTGTATCGGCAGCAGACCAATTAACTACTTATAGGGCAGCTTTCATCGACTCGACAATCGGCCGGATCGATTCGGGGTGAATAACTTTTCTAGTCGCGTTCTACGTACTGATATTGCGTAGCATCTATGACCGAGATGGATACGTATCCGCTCGTTAGGCTCCTTTCATAGCCGGTCAGTTACCGTTGTAAGTCGGTCTTGCAAATCGGCTCTGCCATTTATCGATCCGCGAAAGGTATTCTCCAGCTCGGTGAATAAATAGACAAACAACAAGGAGGAAGGAAGGGCGCAGGCAGAGGAGAAGATGATAATACGATGAGAAAACGAGCGAAGAAGATGCCAGAGGTTAAAAAAAAAAAAAAAAGAGTAGTCTTTGATTCGAAACCGAACGGGGAAATTCTATCTATCGACTGGAACGAATGTATTCTCGTAAAGAAAAAAAAAAAAAAGAAAAGAAAGAAGAAAAAAGAACGATGCTTCGGTATTGATATCATTTGCTTTGTTCTTATATTATAATAGGTAACGGTGGATAATTGCACTCTCGAATCGAATCGTTTAAGAATACAGACAGCGAGATATAATATCTCGGATCAATGAAAGATCTCGAATTCCTTAATACATCACATTATATTGAGTATTGAATGTTATTTTTAAATCGAAACCACTTATCTCGCAGGTTTTATTAACTGAATCCGTAGGAAATAGAAGGCAACGTGTACAGAGCGTGCAACGACCTTTCCAAGTGTATGTGTATATGTACTTACGTTAGGTAGAGCCGATGTCACTTTATTCGATAATTGACAGCACTGAAAATCCTGTCAGACACCAGCAATTGCATTATCTTGGAAAGCTTCACAGTTAATGTTACGTCCATCCTCGGAACTCGTATATCCTTCTCACCACCGTATACGGTAATTATAGGCATAGACGGCGGCTCTCCGAGGACCAGCGAACCCGCGACGTTTCGTCTTTGAAATTAATAGCATCAACATAAGAACGGTTCTATACGTTTCAACGTCGCATCTCTATAATCTATAATCAATCTACAATTTACAATCTTATATACAGGAAGCCGAATTAATATTCGGTCATGTCATGAAATTTCACGTGATTATTTAGCTTTATCTTTAGGAAAGAATTTAACTTTATCGCGTATTTATTATTTTGGAAAAGCATATACGTTAGGCTAAAGATCAGAATAAGATACAATGTTATTCGATTATACAAATAGCATGAAATATGATTGAATTTTCGGCGATTTAACATATTCCATGACAAAAAAGGTATAAGCGTAAGGAAAAGGTAATCTTCGAGACGAACCACAGGATAATCCGATGGAGAGTTTCACCAGTTAGGTCTGAATGCGATTAAGTCATTAGCCGACGCGTTAACGTCGTTTGCTTGGTTGCCGGAAGGGCTGCTTACGATCTTATTACATCCGACGAATTAATTGAAAGTTATTTCGCCCGAGAAATATCGATCTCGATCCTGCATACATATATTGGATTGGCAACTAAGTGATTGCGGATTTTGTCATTAGATGGTTCTTGAAATACCTATAATTTTCTGTGCTGGACTGGGTTAAATGCGTAGTAGAGATACCTGTATGTGAATATCAGTGTGTGGAAGTATGTGTGTCCACAGCGTCTCGAAAACAAAGGAATGTAAACTGTTCAGTCGGTTAACAGTCGGGTATGGAAGAAAGTGCTGAGACGCGTGCAAGTGTGTATCGATGAATATATAAGAAATCGTTCATGAAATAAATATATCATTATTTTAATATTAATCCTCGGTATAAATTTAGTGTTCCTATAACATTATTTCGGCTTCAAAGATCCACAATTTTCAACAGTGGTAATGGCAAATCCGCAATCGCTTAGTTGCCAACCCAATATGTAGCAGGTCAACTACGATGTAAAATTATCTTAAAGCATCGAGGTTCGATCAAGGATTTCGGTCGAGTCGATATTATACTTTGTTCCTCATCAAAAACTACGAAAAAAACGTTTCACCATTGAGCCACGGGCAACTATCGTACAACACGATTTATGTGGTGCTTTGTTCCATTCTACCGCGTTTATATCGGGTGTCCTAGTAATCATGGTACAATTGTGAAATTGACTCTACGTGAGAAAGTAGATGGAAAGTATGGAAGAAAAATTGTAGTAATCTAATTTTAGTAATCTACTTCTAGTAATGGTAATTCGACAATGGAGCGATTTCGTTTTAAGAGAGGCGGAGAGTGAATCGAAAATACAGATTACGATTTTTTCAAACGAAGCCAGGTTTCTGAAAAAGTTTAGTTTGAAAATTTGCCAAGTGTGCTAGTGCAAATTGGATACTAATAGACAATAAATAGGGAGTTTCCTAGGTGCAAAAATAAGTGGAAAATGTAAAATAAATATTTCCCCTTGAAGGTTTCGTTTCCGGTTTTCGTTAAGAAAATAGAACGAATGTTTAGTCAAGAATTATTTCTTTAAACTGAATTTACTCGAACGCAAGGCTTCAAAGTAAAAGATACGTTATTCTATATTTCCCTATAATCCTTTTCGTATACCCGTTATATACAATTGCGTTTACGAGCTATGACTATCTAGTCCCCGAGACAATACAGTAAATCAAATGTGTTGGTAATAGTAAGTAACCGACGCACATAACGGGCTAACGATTAATAATAAACCGAAGTATGACCGACACACCCATACCCCACCCATGCTTCTATACTCGCGAAGAACCGCACATCCATCGCGCATCCTTTTAATCGATCGATATGGCGATTTAGGTCGATGAACCCGATTCGCACTATCGTTCTACTCTATTAGTTTTCCGTCGGGTAGATTAAACTCGCGTCGGTATTGGTGACAAAACTCTGTGTATCGAGTTCACCTTGATAAATGAGAAGTTCAGTTTCCCCTAGATTCGATGTTTCTGTAGTGGCAACATTTGTAGTCGTACACAGGCTGACGAAAGTGCTGGAACAGCTGTATGTGCAGACGCATTGTGTAACTATATTATCTGTGTTTTGAAATTTGAAACGTTTTGAAATTTCACGAGCACTGTTATGACACTCGACTATCGTGATTATATTGGTAAAGTTTGAAGCACATCTGAATATGTATACGTATAGAAGTTACAATATACTTAGTACAAGTATATATTTCGCAGCGATTACAATAGTATCCTGTGTTATTAAACTTGAATATTCAGTTTCAGCGAGTCCATATTTAACACTTACAACGTATAATACGCTTGAAATAACTTGGCCAGGTTATGCAGAAAATTACCAACCCTCGATTATCTGAAATTGAGCTTTGCTTCAGTTCGAAGATTTTAATTTAAAAAAGTAAGCTTCGTTTCTGTCGAGTATATTTCGTTTCTTATTTCTCTTGTTTTCTAATGTTTCCTTTTTTAACTTATTTAACTTAGCGAGCTTATTCGATAGAGATAAACACGACCAACGTCAAAGTGATTTGGAAGTGGTTTCTCCAAAATAATTGTGAACTCCTAAAATAGAATTATGGTTTGCTAATTTGGTAATTATATAACGTAAGAGTTGTTTTATGGGTTAGTTGTTATAGGGTCCATGATTAAATGTGTGTAACTAACATTTTGACATTTTGACGATTGGTATGTTTCTTCTACATCTTCAGATGGGTTTCAGACATAAGAGGATCACGGTCGTCGTGTCTCGTTACGGAACTAATGAATTTTCCAAATCGTACGATTTACCTAATATATACACAGGAATGTAAAAATCTTCTATGGTAAATATCCAAATGCTTTCGTCAGCCAATATACGTATATTCCTATTATTATATATTATATATTAATATATATGCTAATCTTTGATGCAGGAATAAAGGGATACATCAGGCTGATGCTAACGTGTTTTAACTACATGTACAGTGGCTCACGAAAGTATTCGAACGCTTGCACTTACAAATTTCAATTAATAAAATGAGGTGCACTAAACTAATTTGTTATCTATAGTGATGGGAAAGTCTCAAGATTACATGATAGGAAAGTCTTAAGATTACACGAGTAAAATTTGAAAACGATTGAATAATATAGACAGGAGTTAGGATACGTTTATTAGAAACATTCATGACAAGTGTCTCACAAAAGTATTCTAACGCTGTAACACCGTTGATAGGTTTTCATCTTCCTTTGCACCGAATGTAAACATCATTGCTAAATGAAAATATTGGTACGTTCGCTTGATCTTAGGATATCGTTCCAGTAAGAGTAACGTAAAAGTGTGCACAGTAGTATTTAAAATGAATATCAAAAAGTCTGGAAGAAAAGTGTGAAAGAGAAATACTATTCCGATTACATGTGGATGGCAAATCATATAACGAGATTGCCGGAATTGTGAACAGAAGTAAGTGAACGATACATTACAACATAAAAAAGTCAAAGAACGAGGGAACACTTGCAAACAAAGCTCGATACGTCGACCAAAGAAATTGACTGGAAGAGAGGAGAAAGTTATCATTGGCGAATTAAAAAAAAATCCTACTACATCCGCTGCTCAACTCGCAAGTATGGTAGCTGATATGTTTTATAAAGAAGTTCACCCGGAATTATGTCGACCAATCTTACGAAACAGTGATTTTCATGGAGAGTACCGCGAAAGAAACCATATATTAATGCGGTAAATCATAAAAAAAGATTGACTTTTGCAAAAACCTATATTAATAAAGATAATTCTTTTTGGAACGGTCATCTTTTCGGACGAGTCAAAATTTGACATTTTTGGCTCGGACGGTCAAAATTATGTGTGGAGAAAACCAAATACGGAATTGGAAATTCGACATTTACATCAAACAGTGAAACACGAAGGTAGATCGGTCATGGTGTGGGGGTGCGTGGCTGCCAGTGGCACCGGAAATTTGATATTTATTGATGGAATACTTGATTAATATAAGTATTTAAATATTTTAAAAAATAATCTAAAGAAAGTGCCCGTAAATTAGGATTACTGAAAGATTTCCACTTCCAACAAGATAATGATCCTAGGCATACTGCTAGAATTGTGAAAGAATGAATCGTATATAACACATCACACGTGTTAATTACTCCACCGCAAAGTCCAGACATAAATCCGATTGACAATGTATGAGCTGAAATGGCAAAAAGATAAAATAAATTTCAGATAATTTGAAAGCAAGTATTGAAAGATAAAATTATAAAAATATGGAACTCCGTTGAGTGTAGTTTTACAAAATCATTGGTTTACAGTATGGTACGTCGATTGAGACACACTATTGCTGCTAAAGTTGGTCCAACAAAATATCGATATCAAATAATTTAATAATATATGTAGCGTTCAAATACTTTTGTCAGTCACTTACAATCCTTTTCAAATTTTACTGATATAATCTTAAGACTTCCATCTTCCTACTGACATCTGCTTGTCTAAGCAAATTACTTTAATGTACATTATTTCGGCCATTCAAGCGTGCATATGCAAG